CAGAAACCGGGATAAGCTCCAGCCTGATGGGCCACTTGGCTCGCATGCAGACTTTACCTTACCTTACCTAATTCAAGTGATCACCTTACTATTATCATTATCGTATCTTAACATTCTAAAACCCTGTCATCTTAATCTTATCCTAACATTGTTTACGTTTTAATACAAGAATGTACAGCCAATGTCATGCTTAGATGCTGAGCACATGATGCTTGTTGTGAGCGTGACCATGTTCTTTGGTGGGTTAAAACATCAGAGACAGCAACTGGAACTCAAGTTTTATTCATACACGACGAAAACTTCTACATCACAACATGAACTCGTGTAACAATTCAATATGGTGCAATACATAACCTCAACCTGGTGTTGAGCTTACAACTACTTCTGGTCTACATAGTTCCGGTTTACATAAGTTGAGTTTGTATCTTAACGCCCCCACTCAAACACAACTTGGGGTTTACTAAATCAAGTTAACCCAATAATCTATCAAGTTTAGCTCTGGTGACAGGCTTGGTGAATACATCTGCAACATTATTGTCTCTTGGTATATAGGCCAACTCAAGAACTTCATTCTGGATTTCAAGTCTCACATAATGATATTTCACATCAATGTGTTTTGATCTTTGGTGATGTATAGGATTATTAGCTAATGCAATTGCTCCATGGTTGTCTACGTACATACAAACACTCTTACAAGGGAGACACATTAGATCACTCAAAAGTTGGGTAAGAAACTTAGCCCATTGAGTAGCCATGGCTAATGCCACATACTCAGCTTCACATGTAGACAGTACTACAATGGTTTGCTTTTTGCTTTTCCATGAGATCAGTGAACTTTCATTACATAACTTGAATGCATAGCCACTAATACTGCGCCTATCATTAGACAAAGCCCAGTCTGAATCACTGTATCCCACTAGTTTTGGTTGACTTGTCTTGACAAACTTCAAGCACCTGTTTGGAGTTCCCTTTAAATACCTTAGCACTTGCTTAGCCATCCCAAAATGTGACTCTTTGGTTTTGACAAATGCTGGGATAAATATGTTACAACATAACACAAATCAGGTCTAGTGCAAGTCATGAGATAGATTAAACTTCCAACAATTTCACGATACAAATTTGTGTTTTCAAGATCACTTTCATTGGTTTCACTGGCTTTGTTTGCACCTGGTTCACATGGGACTGCTTTTGGCTTGCAATCTGACATTCTGATTTTTGACAAAATTTTCTCCACATACTGACTTTGGTTCATTTCAATACCATCACCTTTGCACTTGAACTGAATACCCAAAAACCAAGAAAGCACCCCTAGGTCTTTCATTTTGAATCTCACCATCAGGGACTCTTTTGCCTCTTTCAGTACATCTGTGTTGCTAGCTGCAATAATAATGTCATCAACCCACACAATTGCAACAACATGACCACTTTCAGTAGTCTTGATACACACACATGGATCAGCTAGAGATTGCACAAAACCATCCTGAGCAAAATGCTCATGTAACATATTGTTCCAGTTACGACCACTTTGCTTTAGACCATACAATGATTTTCTCAATTTACACACAAGTTTCTTCCCATTGGGACCTTTTCTCCCATAACCTTCGGGTTGTTCCATGTATAACTCACAGTCGATGGGAGCATTCAAATAGACTGTTTCAACGTCCATATGATGTACTACCATACCCTTTTGAACGGCTAACTGCATTAACGTGCGAACTGAGGTTATACAGGCAGTTGGTGAAAAAGTCTCGTAATAATATACTCCGGGGACTTGCGAGTAACCCTTGGCAACAAAACGTGCCTTGCACTTTTTTCCCCATTTGGACCTGGTTTTATTGCATAGACCCACTTCCCCCACTGAGATTCGACCTTCTGGTAGAGAGGTGAGCTCAAATGTTTCATTCTCCCATAGTGCATTAAACTCTTCATCAATTCCTGATGTGTAACGCGATAAGAGTAATGCAATAACACGGTTCGTTTTTGGCATAAGAGAGAAGTTTATTCGAATAAAACCTACAAGTACAGTATAACTAACAAATAAACCTCTCTGACCCACGGAAGGGTGGGCTGGGTAAATGAAAATTTTGGTTATACTACAGCAGATAATGCTCTGATCCCTTAACCAGACTAACTACAATGCAACTGAAAAATCATGCGATATATAGCAAGTATGCGTGCTATTGATACTCGATACTATCAATTATCTAACAATAACATCCGTGCCCTCTCGCCGAAAAAGGGAATTAAATATTTTGAGCCGGAAGTCCCAAAATGGACCCATGGCATCCTTCCAGCTACTGGAATCTGGGGATGAGATTGCATCTTGGTATGATTGGGGAGCATTGGTTATTCTGTGGCAAAAATCAATTGTTCAATTTGCAGCATCATCAACTGCATCATTCAGATCCTTCCCAGTTACATAATCATCAAGGTATTTTGGTCTGACATGATCTCTGATAGGATAACACCTAACATTGGCGACCTCATTTTCATGTATTGGGATTTCAGGTTCTGGTTCAGCAGAATCAGGCAACAGTTCAACACTTTCATCAACATGGTCAAGCCTCTTAGTGAACTTGACACATCGGATTTTCTTGATAGTATTTTGATGTGGTTAATACACAAGAAATGCAGGGCTGGACCTGTCATAGCCCACAAAAATACCTTTCTCAGCTCGAACATCCAGTTTGGTTTTGTTCTGTACATATGCATAACACACTGTACCAAATACGTGCATGTTGAACAAATTGGGTTTGATACCTGTCAAACACTCATACGGAGTTTTACCTGTTCTATGGTTGTAGCATCTGTTGCGTATATGTGCTGGCGTCAGGACTGCATACATCCACAACTGTTTAGGTAACTCTGCTCCAATTAACAAACATCTAGCCATATCAAAGAGGGACCTCCAGGTTCTCTCGGCTGTTCCATTCTGATGGGGTGAATAGGGGGCTGATTGCTCATGTTTACCCCCTAAGAGTGCAAATTGGCACACAAGGTCACAACTTTGTGAGTATTTCATAGATTTCTATGAATTTTTGCCATGAAAATTGTCTTGTGAAGATCTGCTCATTGAAGTCATAAAATTTTGACCCTCTCCCATCCAAGACATGGTTGACCACCCCCAGAAGTTTTAAGTTCCTTTTTCGGGATGCGAATGGAATGCAAGACTTGTTTCATGTCAAGCTATGCATTAAGAGCTGCTAAATAAGCTATAGTTTAGTGGTATACCTAATATAGTAGAAGATTGACACATTTTTGAAGTCGTTTATTTTCCCATTTTAACACGATTTCTCACAAAATGTCTACCTCCTTCATAACTGCTGATGTCAATTCTTA